TGTGGACGGAACCGCAGCCGGCGTAATGATGGATCCATAGGGCGATGGCACCGCAAAGGAGGTTGGAGATGGAGTCGTACTGGACATGCTAAAGCTACTGGTGCCCGTCGTGGCAATGGTGTGTGCCGTTTGCGACGATGCCGAGTTGGGAGTAAAAGTTCCACTCTGTTGGCGCAACGTCTTGCTGACATAACTCATGGGCGGCGATCGAAGAATGGACGTAGGTGTGGCTCCACTAGCGGTACTGCTATTAGTACTAGTGGTAGTAGTGCTCTTGGATTGCTGTTGCTGCTGCTGCTGTTGCAGTTCGAGTAGCGACGAGAAGGTGACTCGTCGGTTGTTGGCATCTCCCAAACTTTCCACACTGCTGACACTGGCAATGCTAGACGCTCCCGAGGAGGAAGAGATTGGCGTAATGGGCGGCACGGCTTGTTGTTGTTGTCGGGCTTGATGTTGTTGCAACCGCCGAATAGAAGTCAGATTGGAGGAACTCATGGTGGTGGATCGCGACGTTGACGATGCGAAATCTTTTTTCCCGGGCGTTTCGGCCATGGTGTACCGATGCCGAATGGCGGCTTGTAGAGGCGTTGGGGGCGCTTGTGGGCTGCTACTACTATCCGCAGTGGAGAATGTCATTGTCAACTATTGTACTGTATTGAATGGAAATGAATGAGTGAGTGGGTGCATGGATCTAACTAGCTAGACTACCCGACTACTACATGTAGTACTGTATCAATCAGTTGGTGCGGCATAAATTTTGGCAAGGAAGGTGTTGGTTTTGGATCGCAATGTGACCTCGCACTCGTGTGGTGGTGCTCCTGGCGCTAGTATGGTGTCTGTTGGGGTTTGCCAAACCGCCACCCTCCTCTAAATAAAAGAGGATTTTCGGAACGCCAGCACGCTCTTGCTAGTAGAGGAAATTTTGGTTTTCCTCACTTCTTTTGCACCAAAACCGTTGCTTCGTTAGAATCAAAGTGTCAATCATGCAAATCATGGGCAAGCCACCGGTACCGTTCGACAAAAAGGATAAACCTGGATCCTTTTAGAAGGCTTGGGTCGCTACCTAGCTATCTGACTTGGCTATCTAGCTAGAGCCAGTAAAGTAAAGTAGCTAATGACATCATGCTCAGAGGCATTCTGTTGTTCCGCAATAATGCAACCAGATGACAACGATGATGATCAACAACACCAAGCAACTACATGTACTGCATCCAAGAAACCACCGACCGTTCGAGCCCCTGGAAATGGCCGGAAAGCTCGTCGCAAACGGCGTCTTCAAGCCAAACAGCGAGGGGATACCGGTCTCCTTCAGGCTCCCTTTTTGCATGGCAATACTCAACCCGGTCGGTTGGCACTCGTCGACAAGGCATGGACGATTTGGATGAAGCAACACCATCATCATCACAAGAATAGCATGGTCTTTGTCGATGTCGGAATGGGAAATCATCCCGAAACAACTCTGGAATGGAAAACTGCCATTGAGCAGTGGTTGTTGACAACAGAACAACCACAACCACAATCCAATGGTACTACCCACGAACGCACCTATCTTTTGGTGGGAACCGAAATTGACGAGGAACGTCTCCAACATGCCAAGGACTTCTATACAAACATCAACAACAGTAGCTGTTGTGCCAATGCCAACCACACAACCACCAAGATTCCCGTAGTATTTGAATGGAGTGGAACCGATTTCCAGTTGCCAGCCATTACGGATCACTACAACGTTCGAACGATTCGCGCCATGAATGTTACACGAGACTACCATATCCACGATGCTTGTACGGCCTTGCATCGATGGTATTCGAGTACCGATAGTAGTAGACAACAACCACAACAGCCTGGACCAAATCATACCATGATACTGGAGGGGTCTGCCAATGACACGGGGTCGATTGCTGTTGCCATTATTATGGAGCAGGCTGCGAACAACACTGGCAACAAGGGTAATAATAGCACCGAAAGAATTGCCATTGACGGTGTTGTCTTTGGGGTTGATATAGAAAGTATCGTGTGGGCGGACGATGCTTCCCAACACAACAACCGGACAGAAGGCGCTACCATTCTACCAGGCAAGTCATCTCCACCGCAATGGTTTCAAAGGACTTTGCCTCGGTTGTGGCGGCATTGCTTTGATGATGATGGTCACGAACAGTGCAACCAGCCATGGGTCCATTCCATGCACCAGTTTCTCTCCAAGTGGCAACATGTTTCGTCGTCATCATCATCGTTAGATGCCAAACAGCTCTGGCTCGACAGTATACACAAGCTGGGAGTGCACTACGATTTGTGCCTGGATGGGATCCATACTGGCGTCTTGATTTGGAGGAATCCGGTCGACTTGTATGTCCCCACGCCCGCAGAATCCTTGGCGGGAGGCAAGGGTTGCCAACGAGAAGAAAACGTAGCGGTTGAACAAGGATAGTAAGATGATTTGATTCACGTTCTAGTTATCTAGCCCAGCGTAACCGAGATAGTAGAGCCCGGACTGGATAGACGGCTGACGAGTTGCACTACATTGATTGGCCATCGATGAAAACAAATCTTGAAAGGGCATCTGTGGGGGGAATTAGAGAGAGTTCACGCATTTTCAGGCAATACTTTGCTTTCATGTTGCGCCGAGCTTCCATTCCAAGGCTGACCCCCCTGATAACCCGGGTGTTCCTGTTGGCAGGCCGCTTCCTTCTTTGCAAACTGCGACCATGCATCCAAGTACCGCCCGGTAGAGATGAAGGAAGCATCATTTTGCCTCACTTCAAAAGGGGGCCGCACGTCATCCGCAGACTTCTTCCAGACTTTGAAGGGCAGTACAAATCATGCAACACCTGATCTCATCAAACTGGCTCTGCACATGATGGGTCTTTCAAACAGTGCTGTGGTTCACCAGCACTTCAGAGACCTGCTTACTTCAGAGAAGGAACTTTCCTCCTTGTATGCAGATTCCTCATCTTGTCTTCGGTCCAATGCTGCCATTGCCAAGATTGCTTGTGAAATTTTGTCCTCATCAATCCATCACCAGACAGAGAAGACTATGGTAGAGGAGATGCTGTTTGATCTATGCAAGACCTTTGCCATGGCAGGTGTCTGGATACTTCTCTAGAGCGGTAGCGGTACTGGTGCTAGCTAGTGTTCGCTCTACTGGGTAAAATTGTCAATTAACAACAGGATATTGTCACAAAACAACCAAAATCATTTATGTACCAGTTACCGTAGAAAATGAACTAAGAATTTGAAAATCAGAGATGACCGTTGTTGTAACCTTACAATTATCGCTAGTTTACTACCAACTAGCGTAGGAATCCACCCACTGTTGTCGTTTGTTCTTTCTTTTTGAATTCGAACCATGCAACAACCTCAACAATAGACATGCACGACATACATGACAAGAGGAAGTTAACAAAGCAAGGTGAGGCATGCATGAGCTACCAAGCCAGTGTCACCTCCTGCTTATCTGGATGTTCATCCAAGATATGGGCACCCATGCAAGTCTTTCCTGGCTTGTTGCAGATCCAGAACTGCTTTCCACTGTGCTTCTGTTGATACTTCTGGCACTCGCGACACACACATGTGGTGTATGCTTGACAGATGAGGCATTTGCCTTGAGCTCTATGAGTAGGTTCCTTCTTCCTGAACCTCTTGGTGGGTGTTGGAGCAACATGCTGCTTGTTGGCATCAATAGAAAAGGGGTTGACAAATTCATCCTTGGACTTCCTGGTGTCATTGTGGCCAGCTGCAAAGGCAGCTCTTGCAGTTCGTTTCCTCAGTGCACGCAACTCATAGGTGTTGTCGATGAGTTCCTCGGCCAGAGCTGCAAAGAATTCACCAGAGGTTGAGTACCTGCAGTTAAGGCCTTGGCATCCTCTTGCAAGAAGGAAAGAGTCGACAATACACATTCCAAAGAGAGACATATTGACACGGCGATGCCACATTGTGGTCTTCAACTTCCTCTCCAACATGAGCCCCGCTTGTCGAAACCTGTTGTGTTGGTCAATCTTTCCGCAAGCTCGATAGTAGATCTCGCATGCTTCTGGTTGGGCAACATTGACTTCAACATGAGTTGGTGGAGCATTAGGAGTCTTGTCAACCTGACGCCATCGCTTCCTAATGCATGGATGTCCTGCAGACAATGAGGAACATGTGGACACGAAGTACCGTCGGTCTCTGTCAAACAACACATAGGCAAGCAAGGATGTTCCAGTTTCTTCATCCTTGGACAGAACACCATGTCGATCTCCCTTTCCACCATTAAGCTGTTTCGTCCCAAGATAGTTCATGGGAAACTCCTTGGTTGCTGTCTTGATGGTTCCAATAAAGCGGAGGCCAATGCCGAAGAGTCTCCTTGCTGCTTGGACGGATGCAAAGTAGGAGTCAGCCACTACAGTCCTGCCACTGTTCGCCCATGGCTTGACCAAGTCATACAGGACGTTGCACCCGTGCAAGAACCTATGCGGGATTACATGTTCCGGTGTAAGATAGAATAATAAAGAATAGTGACAATGTTCTTCACACAAAAACCTGACTTACCCGTTCGCATCTTCCTCAGCTCCATTTGATTCCAGTAGTTCCTTTTCCTTCTCAGAAGCAGCAATGGCAGCCGCTGACTTCACCAGCTTCAGCTGCAGCATAATTCCTGATGTTCCACATGCTGAGTTTTGAATCTCGCATCCATCATCAGGCTTCCGGTCGATAGCGACATACTGCGGCAGACCCATGTTGATCCAGTGACCACCCAATCCGTACCACCTACTGATTGACTCATCAACAACAATAAGCTCCGACGGTGTCATGTACTTCTTGCGATGTTCATTAAATCGATTGACGAAGTCTTGACACAATGCCCATCGATGTTCTTCAGAGGAGACATCAGCAGGACGAACATCAGGCTGGAAACTCCAGACCATGTTCTTCAGAAGAACATCGAACCGGTCTCTTGACATGCCGCTTCGCTTGCCGATCGCTGCAGGAGGAACATATTTGTTTCCTGTCTTGGTTGCCCAAAGACTTCCACGCTCACCGAACTCAAATCGAGTAATCAAGATGCAGATGCCAAACCACTTGAGGATTTCTCCAATTGACGTGGCTGGATGTTTTGCAACTCGAAGCTTCGCGTTGGTACTCTCCACCATTGACTTCAACTGTTCTTTGGGAAAACAAGCCATGAAGAAATCGAAGGGAGTGTACTGCTTCTCAGCGTGGTCGTCGCAACCAGGAGAAAACTTGTGACCGCTGTACTGGTCAGTCATTGTCCAAAACTTGACTGGAACTGGACCGTTCACATCCACATCGGTCACTCCCTCAAACTACTCCCGTCCATGGTTGACACTGGCAGGGATTGGAGCAGTCGTGGTGCTGGATGGACTTGTGTTGTTGGAATTTGGCGAAGATAATGGATTCTCGTCGCGACTGGATGCAGCGGCAGCAGTGGCAGCAGTAGAGGCTGCGGCGGCTGTTGCAGTGTCAGGCGGCGGCGGCGGTGGTGGTGGTGGTGGAGGAGGAGCGGTAGCAGAAGCGTCATTGTCATTGTTGACAGTTTCCACGATTGGTGCCTCTGGATTCTTATCTTTCAGAGTTTGCAGCGCCAGCTTCTTCAATTTCCTCTCTTCCCCAACAATATACTCTGCTGTAATGAACGTGGTGGCTCTCTTCCCTCCTTCCTTGGTCTCCTTGGAGATGGACAATACCTTGCCCTTCAGCCATGTCTTGTTGATGAGCGAACCATAAATTCGCTTGGCATCTCTCGACACGGCAGCTGCATGGGCCCAGCAGTGGCCGCCAACCACTCTACGAGGATCAGTCTCTGGCATGGTAACAACAGTGGAGGTAACAGGAGTGTTAGTGCGGTGCGATACAGGTTGAAAGGACCATCTTCTTCTTTCTTACTCACCGAAAGGTCAAGAGGAAAAGCTGATCGAAAATAATGATTTTTTTTGTCGCACGATTGCAACAACCAATCCAGCCTAACTACAATGCTAATATCCAGCCATGAAGCCGATCAAACCCGGCCAAATTCACACATGACGTTAACTATAGTATCGAGATTAGATCGCAACGGTTGGAATGGGTGGTTGCGATGGAGGCAGGCGATATACTATATACGTATCTAGAGGTGTTATGTTACAACTAAGTTGTTAATTAACGACCATAGTGGAGCGAACACTAGTAGCTAGAGTACTAGCTAGTACTCGAGCACCTGGTACATCGTACTCGGATCTACCGACTATAGTAGGTTCGCTGTTGGTACATGTACTCACTCATCAGTACCGGTACCCCAAGGAATCCAGAACTCAAGCATTTATTATTCTAGCTAGCCTCGGCCCTTGTGTTGGTCGGTAGCGGCTTTCTCATTGGAGCTGGACCTCTGTGGAAACTCGAGTCGTGCTACTTTTCGTCTCCTAAATCCTTTGGATCGTCTCCTATTTAATGGATTTCGTCTCCTAAAATTAGGAGACGAAACGGATCGTCTCCTAAATCTTTTGTCTCCTCTTAAAACGTCTCCTATTTTCAACTGATCGTCTCCTATTCTCAACGGATCGTCTCCTAAGTGTACCATGTAAACTGTATGGTATCGTCTCCTAAATCTTTCGGATCGTCTCCTATTTCGAAACGATCGTCTCCTAATTGGAATGTCTCCTACTGAATCGTCTCTTAAATATAGGAGACGATTGCTTTCGTCTCCTAAATCATTTCGATCGTCTCCTATTCCTCGGTGTATCGTCTCTTAAGTATTTTGCCATGAATGACGTTTCCACAGAGGTCCTGTTGGGAAAGCTGATGCTTGCTTCTCTTCTTTTGGTTGAAGTTTCCTCCAAAGTATTTTGGGCGAGAAGGATTCTGCCTTCTTGCTGCCACCATCCAGAACCCGCCGTTAGAACCAGAAAACAGCCAAGAGTTCGTAAGAAAACCCGCGAGTCCTGCCGTCGAAGAGAGACCAGGAAGTCGTCCATAGCGGCTACCATTGATAGTATTGGGAAAGAGAGAGGAGCGGACAGGGAGATTGTGGTATCCTCAGGACCACGACTTGAATTTGTTGAAGGCCCAGACTATTTTGGTGCAACGAGCTACCCGTTCCGTTGGGATAGCACAAGGTTCCGGCGCCTCCCACTGTGAAAAGATACATGCAAAGATACTCGTGTCTGTGGCCCTCAAGTTGGGATAGCAAGAGGTTTTGGCGCCTCCATGAGCAACCTCAAGCCCCTTCTACTATCTAGATTGTGGAAGCAAATAAATGAACTCAGGCTGGCTTCTGTTACTAGTAGTCCGCAGATAATCTACCTCCTCTACACCCCAGTATCATTGGAGTCATAGATGGCATGCTTGCCCCCCAAGCCAAGATTCTTTTACAATGCCTTGCTTCTGTCTCTGCCAACAAAACTCAGTTCTCGTACTCTCACATGATGTTCTTCACGCAGATCCGCATCTCTTTTGCCCTAGTGAAACCTACCCATTTATGTCTCTGTGGATCCAGCAAAGCCAAGCCCTTTGGCCGCTGTATCGGTCCTCAATTTATCGCCCCTGATTCCACAGAACCTAGCTAGTCCTGAATTCCGACTCTGCCTGGCCCTTGCTGGCTTCCATAGATAATTCACCTTACTCTAACGCCCCCTTGAAAACATTCTTCTACTAGCTAGTCTACTGGTTCTTGTTCTGATGAATCATATCATTCCAGGCTTGCTGATATGCATACATATAGGCATATCTCTATCGGTGGGACCAAACGGGGCGAGCAGTGTGGCCCGTTGGGGGCAGCAAAATTGCCCAAAGATGTGTGCCTCACTTTTACAGCTGTTCGTTGCTTCCACCGCCGGGAAATGCATGTAGAGCAGGCACTACAGAGTTCTGAAGAAGATGTTCATTCTCCCTTCGAGCTAGTACAGATAACAACATGAAACAAATTCTTACGTTATCCCTTGGCTGGTTTGTGGCCCAGCCCACCCTTTGCTATTCTTGCTAGATCCGCTCACGACCCTTTGTTACGTATTGGATCTCGTCTTGCGCCGAGGCAAGCTTCGTGTGGGAACGGCAGCGCTGGTCTTTTTCAGCTTGCTGCTCTTTTTCTTTTTGGGCGGATCCGTACTAGTACTGCAGATTGAGATTCCAGCAGAGTTGTAGTACTTGGCCCACATTCCTGGCGCTTCCCGTAGCAAGCCATAGATCAAGTTGCAACGGTTGAGTTTGGTCCGCTTTTTACGATCCACAGTGCGAGGAGGACACAACAGCGCTACCAATTCCTCCCCACACGAATTGACAGCTTTGGCACGTCCCATGCGATTCAGGTACATGTAGTGCTTGACGGTTTCGTCTTTTCCCAAGCTCATTCCAGGAACTCGTTCGAGGGTTCGGTTGTGGTGCTGCAAATGATGTGTCCATGCGGCAACCTCTTGAGGGGTTGGCTCTTCCTTTTGGCTTGGTTCGACTGTGACAGTGTGTAGCTCTACCTTGCACTCCGATTGATTCAAAGCTTATACGACGGCCACCCAATCCACTTCGATTGATTCTGGATCTGGATTTCGATGTTCCAGTCGACTATGGATCTCGATAACGCAAAAGCCTTTGATAGATTGCAGCAACGTCACGAGACAAGTGGTTATGGATTCCTTGGATGATGCTGTCGACTCCTTGTTATTCGAGCCGTCAAAGTACTTCTTGTGGGCATGTTCACAGCGAAAGCGTCGTCCGATATCAATGCATCGATACCACCGGGACTTTGTGTTGTACTCGTCATCCCACTCTCTGCCCACTTTGATTCGTAGCTCATGGAGAGGGGCTGCCATCAACTTTGCCATGCCGGCCAGCAATTCGAGCAAGTTGGGATCCTCCAAATCGCAGTTGAGAATATCCAACGAGTTCCAGCGTTGCACTCCATTTCGTTCTGCCACACTGCCTCCCTGGGAAGTAAAGACGAGGTTAGGGCCATGAGGGTGGTTCTCGAAATATAATGCTGCCTCCAGAAGCTCCCATGCCTGACTCGAATTATAGATGGTTCGAATCAAGAGCTCCCACATTTGCAACAGATCCGTCGGTTTTTCCAAAAGGGTTACTTTGGGCCATTTCGTGAGGATACTGAGAATCTCTTTTGTGTTTGCTGGCACATGACATCCCTTTGAAATCTCCACCAAGCGCTTCTTGATGGTATTCATCCCCGGCGTAGCTATTCTCTTTTAATAATACTTTCTTGCGTAGCTATTTTCTTCTTCTTCTCCACGGTCGCAATAGTTTGCTTCTTGGCAGCAACTTCTTGTTTGGTGCGTTGCGAGGAGGAGTAGGAGAAGGAGGTGGTGGTGGTTTCTTATGAGAAGGAGGCTTGGAAGCGGCTGGAGGAGGTTTCTGGCTTCGAGAAGAAGGAACGTGCTGGGGAGGTAGCACAGGCAAGTTCTGTGGTGGAGGACCAAATAAATTCATGTTCATGTTGGGGGGTGGCATCATCATCATCTGCTGATGAGGGGGATAAGCTGGAGGATTCATCATTCCTGCAGGGGGCATCATAGGACACATCATTGGATCCGCAGGAAAATATGGAGCCGGAGGATACATATACCCCGCTTCTGCTGCTGCTGCTAAAGGCATTCCATGCGCCTGAATGAGTGGTGCAGCATTGCTCTGCCGCTGATTCTGCTGCTGTTGGCGACTGATCCCTTGCTGATTTATCGGTATCTGTTGGCGCTCTAATATTTGTTGTTGCAGCTCTGCCACTTGTTGTTGTATCTGATGGATCGCCTGAGCCTGTCGTGTCATCTGGATTTGCCAGGAATTCCAAGCCGTTGCTGCTGCTGATGGCATCGCAGGTTCTAGTACCGGTAGGAGGGGAGGTGCTGCTACCCATGACGTATACCCAGGATAAGCCGCCGCGGGAGGTTGCATGCGTGGCATGGTGAAATTTGGATTGCTGGCATTAGATTGTCCCCCAGACAACGGGAAAGTCCCATCTACCCCTGCAGTGGACGACCGAGGGCGGTCTGGGGCACTCGAGCCACGGCTACTTCCTTTGCCATCGCTGATAGTTGCCATCTTGCTTGCTGCTCTCTTCGGATGTGATGGATCTTTGCGACGAAGCGACCAGCGACGCAAAGAAGACTTTGATGTACGGAAGGGTTCAGGCTATCAAACGACGAATGAAAACAATGAAAACGGCAGCGCGCACCTTTCCCCGAACGTGAACGTGGCAAATCAAGCATCTACCCCGCATGGACACTCTCTCCGGCTACTGGTACCACCATGGTATCTATTTAGTATTTATTTATTTTGGTACCAGGCAGTCTACCGTACCGCTACTGGTGACAACCATGTAGAAGGCATATCTGATGTCAAGCTCCCTTAAGTTTTCTCCCAAATAAATGTTCTCAAGTTCTCAGCTTGTTTCGGACTGTGTCGCCTCTCTGCTATCAACCCAGTCGCTCCTAGCTACATATTGATCTACTGGGCAAATTAGGAAGAACCATACCATTGGAAGCTAGCCTACCGGTACTAGTAGGATCCTCTGACGAATTTCCAACTTTGGCAGCCCCATCACACAAATCCAAAATGAGCCAGCGACACCTCCAGGATCTATTCTTCTAGAGTGGCTCTTCTGATAGCAGGCAGCAATCATTGGCTTTAGCCCCCATTCCAGGCTTGCTGGGACGCACGCCTGTGGGCATATGTCTATCGGTTGGACCAAACGGGGCGAGCAGTGGGACTGGTTGGCTCGGGGGGCAACAAAATTGCCTACTAAAGATTGCTGCCTGACTTTAGGGCTGTTCGTTGCTTCAACGACGCGGGAATAGAGAAGCCACTATAGAATCTGAAGAAGAAGCTAGATTCTTCCGGACGGCTCATTCTCCCTGTGGGTTCGATTCTAGCTAGCTAGTGCGAGGACTGATCACATGAAACAAATAATCCTAACGTTATCCCTTGGCTGGCTTGTGGCCCAGCACACCCTTTGCTATTCTTGCTAGATCCACTCACGACCCTTTGTTACGTATTGGATCTCGTCTTGCGCCGAGGCAAGCTTCGTGTGGGAACGGCAGCGCTGGTCTTTTTCCGCTTGCTGCTCTTTTTCTTTTTGGGCGGATCCATACTAGTACTGCAGATTGAGATTCCAGCAGAGTTGTAGTACTTGGCCCACATTCCCGGCGCTTCCCGTAGCAATCCGTAAATCAAGTTGCAACGGTTGAGATTGGTCCGCTTTTTGCGATCCACTGTGCGAGGAGGACACAACAGCGCTACCAATTCTTCCCCACACGAGTTGACAGCTTTGGCACGTCCCATGCGATTCAGGTACATGTAGTGCTTGACGGTTTCGTCTTTTCCCAAGCTCATTCCAGGAACTCGTTCGAGGGTTCGGTTGTGGTGCTGCAAATGATGTGTCCATGCGGCAACATCTTGAGGAGCTGGTTCTTCCTTTTGGCTTGGTTCGACTGTGATAGTGTGTAGCTCTACCTTGCACTCCGATTGATTCAAAGCTTCTACGACGGCCACCCAATCCACCTGGAATGGCTCTGGGTTTACACCCAGTCCATTTTCGATCTCGATAACGCGCAAGCCTTTGATGGATTGCAGCAACGTCACGAGACAACGGGTCATGGATTCCTTGGATGCTGGTGTCGCCTCTTTGTTGTTCGTGTCGCCAAAGCATTTCTTGTGGTTCTCGTCCCAGGTATACCAGCGAAAGGGTGAGTTGCAATAACTTCTTCCGGATTTGATTTGCAGCTCGTGGAGAGGGGCTGCCACCAACTCTCCCATGCCGGCCAGCAATTCGAGCAAGTTGGGATCCTCCAAATCACAGTTGAAAATGCCCAACGAATTCCAGCGTTGCACTCCATTTAATTCTGCCACCCTACCTCTCTCGGAAGAAAAGACAAGATTGGGGCCATAAGGGTGCTTCTCGCAATAAAACGCAGCCTTCATCAGCTCTGTCTGACTCGAAGAATTATAGATGGCTCGAATCAAGGGTTGCCACATTTGCAAAAGATCTGTCGGCTTTTCCAAAAGGGTTACTTTGGGCCATTTCGTGACGATACTGAGAAGCTGTTCCGTGTTTGCTGGCACATTACGTTCCTTTGAAATCTCCATCAAGAGCTTTTTGGCGCCATTCATCCCCGGCGTTGCTCTTTTCTTAATTACCTTCCCCGTGGCGCGTTTGCGAGGAGGAGGAGGTTTCTTACGAGAAGCGGCAGGTTTCTGGCTTTGCGCCGTAGGATTGTGCTGGGGAGGTAGCATACCGGTAGGCAAGTTATTAGGACCAAATAGATTCATGTTCCTGTTCATGTTCATGTTGGGGGGCGGCATCATCATCATCATCTGTTGACGAGGCAAGAAAGCTGTAGGATTCATCATTCCCGCGGGGGGCATCATAGGATACATATACCCCGCTGCTGCTGCTGCTGCTAAAGGCATCCCATGCGCCTGAATGAGTGGTGCAGCATTGCCAATGACATTCTGCCGCTGATTCTGCTGCAGTTGGCGCATGATCTGTTGATTATTTTGGAGAAGAATCTGTTGATGAAGAACGATTTGTTGCTGCTGCTGATGTGCCAGCTCAAGTTTGTAGGAGCTCAATAATTGTTGCTGTTGCTGTTGTTGTTGCTGTTGATGAATGATTTGTTGCTGCTGTCGCAACACACTTGGACCCAACAAGCTTCCTCTCATCATACCAACACCAGAAAACGGGAAACCCCCATTTACATTTAACCCAGCAGCAGTGGAAGACCAATGCTGGTTTGGAGCAATCGGGGCACCGCTACTTCCTTTGCCATTGCTGTTACTTGACATCTTGATTCTCTATTACTCTGTCAGAAGTGACAACTGATCTTTGCGGCGAGCGACCGAGAGACGAAAATTTGCGGCGAGGCGACGAAAAACAACAAGATCTTGAAAATACGGAAGGGTTCAGGTTATCGGGCTATCTTACCTCAGCGTGGACCTTTCCCCGAACGTGACCGTGGAAAGTAAAGTTTCTACGCTGTGGAAGGCCACTCTCTGCGACTACCGGTATGCAGTGCATTTTTTAATTGAGAGCGCTTTGGAACGAACGAACAAGCACCCAAACGACAAGATTGATAATGTTACATCACGAGACCATGTTCTCCTGGCAACGAGCGGTTCGCATGTTGCTCATGGTAACCACAATCATGGTTGCCTGGCTCAGCTGTATCCGCATCTTGTGGTACGAAGGGTTGCTTCATGCCCTGATGGATATGTCATCGACTCTGGAGATTCAACAACAACAAGAACCGGACTTTCGATGGCAACGATTTCCAACACGAGAACAGCGCATGATGATCTACATGTCCAGTTGGTATCTTCCGCCACACTCTTCGTCTCATTGTGAAAGCCATGATGCTGGACCACGGTTTCACTTTCAATGGACTCCAGATGATACCACCAATAGTTCCAACTCGTCCAGTATTGGACGAGTCGGTCGTGGCGTGGATCCATCATTGTATGCACCTTCCCATCACGCCAATCGATCCAGCGTCATGGTCATGTCGGCTAACCCGTACCCCAGCTCCATCCAACAGTTTCGCTTTGATCGCTATGTCGATGCCGATGTGGCCTTTTTGGTGGAACCAGGGACCATGGAAGGGTGTGCCAAGACATATGACAAACCACCGTTGAAACGTCCACGTCCAGGGTTGCTCAAGTACTGCCAAGATGTTGTCAAATCGGTCCTTCCGCTTCAACGAGAAATGGCAATCCAGCAAGAAATTCCATTGATCTTTCAGTTTGGATGCAATCCAACCTCCAAGAAACACGGAGAGCTTCGGATTCCCCATTTTCGCAAGTTTCGCCAAGCGTTACCAGCCAATGCCCTTGGTTCTATCCGGGATGCAAGCAATGGCGTCGCTGACCCATGCGCCACCATGTCCCAGTTCTCAAGGATCCTTGCTCCACTCGGGCACCCACTCTTGTGGCTACTCAACTCGGACCGGTTCCGTGGTCCTTTGAGAAATGTTGCCGAGGCAGACATTCCCTGGTCTCGCAAGAAGAATAGAGCCGTGTGGCGTGGTTCTCTGACTGGAACCCGTGATGCCCAACTGACCAAGGTACCCGAAAATGCCAGTGCCGTAGAAAAGTGTTTTCGGTTGCCACGTTGTCGTTTGGTCTATCAGGCGGCTCAGCAGGAGCCGTCGACAGCTGGCACAAGAAGGAATGCGCTGGTGGATACAAAGCTCACAGCTTTGGATGTGTTGGGCAAGTCGGGAGTGACAGCACAAATGAATGGCGTGTCACTCGTGGGGCCGCCCATGACCATGGAGGAGCAGTTGCAGCACAAGGCTCTGATTGTGTTGGAAGGTCATGAGGTTGCTTCGGCCTTGCTCTGGTCCTTGCATTCGCAATCAGTGGTGTTGATGGCACCTCCTCGCTACACCACATGGAGTATGGAGGAGATGCTGGTACCTTGGATCCATTACGTTCCTTTGGACCCGGAGTTGAACTATGATAATGTCGAGGATATGGTTCAATGGGTTTTGGATAATGAGGACGGGGCCCAAAAGATCTCTGCTCGAGCTTCCTTGTGGGTTTACGATTTGATGTTCCATCCTGATGCCGCCAGTGACGATGAATGGATTCAACGCGAGCTTATTGACCGCTATTCTGTGTATTATGATGAGTCCAGGAACGAGTTGCAGCATCCACAGGAAGCAGACTAGCTAGGCACAGATAAATAAATAGTAGGGCCAGGGCTCCTCATCGTGTCCTTTTGGCAAAAGTTCTACTGTACGAGTCTCTCACTACATGCAGCAATCCGTTAGTACGGCCCCACATGGTCCAACAGGTGGACCACAACTTTAGCTAGTTCTTGGGATGCATGCCATTCAAAAACATGTGTTGGATGCAAGGAATCCACAAGAATCTCGTCTGTAACAACCTGTGTGGATTGAAAAGCTACCATTCACTAGCTTCCTAGTAGAGGAGCGACGAGTGCTCACACCAACTGCCATTTACACTTGCATTGACCCGCAGCCAGTCGGACGAACAAAGATGCAGGCCGCGGGCAGTGAGTGAGTGAGTGACATGTTGATCAGTCAATCAATCAAACAATCAATAACCAGCGATCGCGGCAAGCCATAACAACCGTCAATTGAGCCAACCTCGTGTCGGGGACGATGATTGCTTTGACCCAGCAAGCTAGCTTCTGCTGCAAAACGCTAAGGATATATTATCGATAGCTCCTTGCGACTTGTTGACTCGTCTTGGAGCGGGCAATACTGGTCCCGGTAAGGGCAGTTCAGCAAGTGTAAGCTCTCCTGTTTGCCTACACATCGGAAGCGTGCATGTTGTCATTCATTTAGCTACCTACAGGTAGCTAGTAGCCCAGCAAAATGGATCTACTCGAGTATAGCTAACCAGCCAGCGACGTCGAAAGCGGTGCACTCGGATGAATGAGTCTCAAGCTATCTAGCTAGGTAGGCAGTGATGTAGTGTATGTAATGTATGTATGTATGTAGTAGAGTCAGTTAGTAATTAGATAGAGAGCATTGTTTGCTTAGCTAGCAATCGGTTGCGCCAGAGACATCAAGCGTCGGTTCATATCGAATGGCTTGTCAGAATTGGCGGCTTCCCGAAGGAGATTTTGAATGCTGGGCAGGATGCAGTTGGGTGGGAGTGTCCAGTCATGTGGCTTGCTGGTAACGACCCGCCCTGAAGACCAGCGCGACGGCACCGACTGCATGGGAGTAGGAGTGGTCAAGACGACGGGTTCGTCTTCATCCTCCTCTTCATCATCACTCTCGTCATCGCTGTCACTGTCACTGTCATCGTCCGAATCCGAGTCATCATCGGAATCGTCGTCGTCGTCCGAGTCGACTCCAAAGACGTCAATGGAAAACAGTGTGCTTTCGTCGTCGTCCGTCTCGGAGTCGGTCTCGTCCTCATCGTGCTTGGCCAGCCAGTCATCCAATGCCACTCTCCATAGCAATTGCGATCGCTTGGAGGGATCCTGTGGTGGCAAATGATCCTTACTAGTGTCGGACGCCATGCTCGAACTCCATCGATCGGCACCGGCTTCCAAACTGGATCGTCGCTGCGGGCGCATCATGGGGTTGGTGCACTTTTTGGGAGTAGTCGAAGACAAAGGAGTAGGATCAGAAATACGACGGCATGTGATCTTGCCCTTTCGCTTGTTCTTGCTCTTGTGAAGCTTGCTAGTAGCACTAGTGTTGTGGTTATTGCTGCCGTTGCAAGTGTCATTGGTCCGGTCGCTGTAGACTCGTCGACCGCTGCTGCTGTCGTCCCATCGCGAAGTGCCATCCAGACTCGACCGTGGAGCTCGGTACGACAGTTGCAGTTGTTGCCGCGCTCGATCGGTCAGCTTGCCGCAGTTGTCCTGGACAATGTCCATGGACTCTCCGTTCTTCTCGGCCAGCAAACCTTGCACAAAACTCGACAGAGGATCGTTGTTCATCATGTTGACAGTCATCATCATCTTGGTGCTTTATTTTTGTGGTGTACCGCTTGGTAATAATAAACAAGCAAGCAAAAGGATCTTGCGAAACTAAAATTGTGAGGACTGCATAGCCAAGACAAGACAAGTCGTAGACCTTGCTGGGGTCTCATCAAGTGGATCCACATCTCCGCTTGACCACTGCAACAATGCAATGCGACACGTAGCCGTAACAATATCGAAGATTCTGAGGTGGCACAGCTTTGTTTATGGAAAGCCAGGACCCCACACTTCGTTTGCTTTCTGCTTTTATCTATTGCCTTTTAGAAACATGCCCAAACTAATTACCCCTTGTCTGAGGTGGCAACATCTTACTTAACGATTGCTGGGACCCCACACTTCGTTGCTTTCTGCATTCAGCAACTAAATTACCGAGCATTCCATGGCAATTAAGGAACAGACCCGAATTACAAACCACTCGGCTTAAAAAGACGCGAATGCGAGGAGCACTCATAATACTTTCTTTTCTACCGGGCTGTAGTCAATATCAATCCAAACTGAGGCTCTTGAGGTCTTGGTTGGTATTTACTGTTTACTGATTACTGACTGGAGGGGCCAAACAGTAGCAGTAATGGCAGTAATGCAGTAATTACTCAGTAGCAGTAATCAGGTACAGTAATTTAAAGCCATTTGAAGGCAGTAAATCACAGTAATTGCAGTAAAATAGGGTGATTACTGTGCTTTTACTGTCATTTACTGTCAATTACTGTTGAATTGGCAGATTTATTACTGCCAGGAATTACTGACTGCAGTAACTACTGGCCAATAAAGGCAGTAAAAGTACAGTAAGTAACCAGTAACCAGGAATTACTGCAGTAATTACCCACCAAGCTTGAGGTGGAGCGTGGAGCGGGCTGACGTATTACGTTCGACGGAATTCTGGACAAATTGTGGAGTCTCTCGGAAAGAAACGCATTAGAAACCTTGAGATAGCCTTGTACTGAACGTACAAAGACATGTGCGATTAATAATTCCACGTCGTCTCCAATTTTCATCAATATAAGCGTCCGACAAAGAACTCGGGGCAATTAGTTCAACATGTGGCCTCAAAGAGTTTCCAAGAGGATCGAACTTACGTTCTTCGTCGCAAAGATTTAAAAAGACCTCCGTACTTCCCTCCAATCTTGTGAACAGCGTCCCTAACTACATAACTCCGCAGTGCCACTGCAACTCTTCACCTTTGACAGGCAATCCATAGTGGTCAAAAATACTACTACTCCGAGTAGTAGTATATATTTAAATATCGATAATAATATATATATTATTATGATGCGCAATAGAAAGCTTTTTGGTGTTTGGTCTCCCAGACCACGCTCCTTTTGGTTACCCCCTCAGTAGCACGCTGGAATCGATTTGCTGGCGTTTACTGTGAAAAATAGAGTAAACAAGAAAGAGAGATCGTACTAGCCCTAGCTAGTCTACTCAGTATGTCATACCGTAGCAAGTAAATGACCTCCTCTCCTGAGTCCTCCCCACGAGGCGAGCTTCGCACCTATATCTCTCTCTCATCTCGCAAGAGCCTTTCTCACAGTTGGGGCACCACCACACCCAACCACACCTGGCCCAACACCCTCCTACACCTCGTATGCACGCCTAATAGAAGGTACCTTGCAGCATGGGTCAAGGCTTTGGGCTAATCTACCGGATTAGGCAAGGAATTCCCAATGGAGTGAGAGGGAATTCCAGTAGTCGGGGAATTCCTGCAAGGGGTAGACAACTGCTAAGTCATCAGCCGAAGGCCACTACTTTTGGCCAAAGCAACCAGCCAAAAACAACCACTGTGAACAGCCATGAACCATGAACCAAAATTAATTATTAATAAAAACCACTTGCCCCGGCTGGCTTCCATAGATAATTACACTACTCTAAACTTCCTCCCCCTTAATTCTTGACCGATTGAGTGATGAAGAAGCCGGACAAAAACAACCACCATGAACCATGAACCAAGGAAATTCGGCTTTTTCAGCGTTGGTCTCCTGTTTCCGTCAGTTTGCTCGCTACTTGGATCCAATAGATGCAATCCAGCCATTGTATAAGGCGCAGCTACGGTAGCCGTAGGCAGAGAGTTCATCAATCGTCGACAGTGGCAACAGTACCGAATTCACTCAGGTTCCGCTTTATTTGCTACACTCCGTTACCGGGTAGCCAGTGTGGCTCTACACCACCACCCACACCGCCTCCCACGCCTGGCCCCACACCAGAACCAACCCTCCTCCAAGATTGCCATTGAATCTTTATGACTAATACATGCAAAACCGAATATTATGAATCAAGCCATTGTAACCAGTTACAGTAGAGTTCATCAGAGTCAGTGACAGTGAGCAATAGTACGAAGCACAACTCCACTCTGGGCAGGTCGCTGGCAGCTCGTTACTCGCATTGAGGATCCCTATGACGAATACAGGCACAAAACCGACTATTGTTAATCCTGCCATTGTAGTCGGCCCTACCTACAGTTACTCGGCGACAGTGTCTATCAGTACCGGAACACACTCAGGTTCCGTTTGCAGGCTAAACTCCGTTGCCGTATCTGCATTGGATCCTTATGACGAATAGACTAGCCTACATGCACAACCAACATAGTAATCCACCATTGTTGCCGGCTGCGGTATACTACATCGACGACAGTGGCAACAGTACCGAAAGTTCGGCTTGCTCGCTACGGTACCGGTACCTCGCATTGGATCCTTTGACGAATACATGCACAACCGAATATTCTCAATCCAGCATTGTAGCCAGTTACCGTAGAGTTACATCGACGTCTGACAGTGGCAACAGCACCAACACACTCAGGTTCGCTTTACTGCTACACTCCGTTAGCGCGTACCGCGTTGCATTGGATCCTTATGACATACATGCACAACCGAAATTGTCAATCAGCCTTGTAGCCAGCTATCGTTGAGTTCATCGATCGGTGACAGTGGCAACAGTACGAACACACCCAGGTTCGACTTTGCTCGCGCCCTCGGTTACCTCCATTGTATCCTTATTGACGAATACAGGCACAACGAATATTGTCAATCCAGCCATTGTAGCCAGCTGCCGTATAGCTAGTGGCAACAGTACTTGATTGTGGCATACAGGAAAATGGGTACCGACACAGGAATCACCACCAAAAACAGCTAGGAAATAACAAGAAGGGATGAATCTGGTAGGAGGATCCACTCTCTTTGTGTTGTTGTTGCCTCCTTCCGGTGGCTTTGCCTTTCAATGACTCGACGACAATAGGCTCCCTGTCAGGCTGTTGGTAGGGCTGGAGTTAACAGACTCCTCCGTAGGGTAGCCTCTTTTTCTGGTGATCGTCCATCGACAAAGGACTCAACAATGGGATTTCCTCGGCCGTCAGCAGTGAAGACGAAGTAAGAATATAGATATGTTTTCTCTTCTATTCTGATACTGTGGATGACCGGAGACTTACCTTTGTTTTTCAACTTGGCCTCATGGCCGAGAAATGATTGCCTTCCTGTGGTCCATAGGATTGAATGAGGATGGCTTTCGAATCTGCACCGGAGAAGGACGGCTTGGGTGAGGCTTGAAATAGAGAAAATAGAGGTGCGACCGATCGATTCGAATAATTAAGAACAACTCACCTGTTGACGGTCAAGCTCGGATTTTCTCCTGAATACCATAGAAATCAATGAGGAAAGAGAAGTCAGCGCTGTACCTCATTAACACTCTTGATAATAGGCTTACCTCATTGCGATCGATTCGACGTTCGATCAACACTATATACTCTTGTCGGCCAGCTTGGATTTCCTCCTTTTACCATAGGAATTAATGAGGAGAGAAGTCAGTGCTGACCTTCAATTGGACTCCAAGCCTGTAGCTAGAAGCGGACAGCAGATGCGAGGATATATTCGAGTATCGAGTTTATCCCTAACCTTAGTAACTTCAACGGTTCTTTTTATCCACGAATCGATCTAAATCTTTCGAAGAACCTGTTACTAAGATACACATGACCGTGATTCTGCAACTGAAGTCGGGTATG